ATCACACATGCATACTACACACCTAAAAAAATAAGATGGCAAAATGTAAAAATATCTGCTACTTAAGAACAACAAGTTTGTATTCTGCATTCAGCTTGTAAGGTACATCTGTAATAGGGGTAGCTGGTTTGCTCTTGTGGTTGCTACTGCAATGAATATTTTTAGTTGTAACTCTCTAGTGTACCAGTGTAAAACGAGAATTGCTTTTATGCTTTTTACTGTAATTTCAAATTACAAAGCACGTAAGGGCATAGACCCCATCAACAGAACAAACGTACGTTGATGTGGACAGGTAGTATAAACCTGTAACACATTTCCTTTGTGTTTACCTTTAATTTCAGCCTTATTCAAAAAGAAATCATTTTGAGTATCTCTCAAAACTAACTGATTAAAGATCATGCACAATTTTTAATAGAGAAATTCCCCCTTTATTTGCATCTATAGTCATATTTTATTAAAAATGTGTCTCCTTCAGGGAGCCTGTCCCCTTGAAAAAAAATAAAAAAATCACATTTTGATTATAAAATTCATTCCCTACGGATGTTAAAAGCCACACTGCAGATCACTGTAATTGGAGTAACAACAACAAAATCCTTTCACTTACTTTCAAACATTAGATAGCATTTGGCATTAAGTCATTTAACTATCCTTCTGTCTACAGTGCACTTTTCACTTGGTTATGTACATCTTTCAAACAGTAAGTTAAGGGGTTTTAAACATCAGAAAACGCACCCTTAAACCATTGATGAAAGCTCTTTCAAAGCACTCCAAACTTCAACAGCTGAAGCAATTTTAACATAGGCTTAATTCCAAGGTGACAATGTCTCTTCAGTGTCTAGTATCTGAACTACACTTACAAAACTTTAATTTAATGTTATGAAACACTGAGCAACTAAATTGAAACATCTCTAAATGAAGTGAGACTAGATAGAATTTTTAAAGTTAGGATAAACAGTATTTGAACTAGGGAGAAAAAAAAATCTTTACGGAGACATGACTGCTTTTAAAGCACTTCTGTTAACATCACTGACCTAACAGAGGCTGCATTTGAAAGAAATGAAAATGTAGCCACAAAAATTGTGCAATTTTGAGAGAGAGAGAAATGTACTTACAATGTCTGTTCTGACTGGTGGTTATTTGGGTTGAACCTGTAGGATGGAAGCTGCTCAATGTCTGCCTTTGTCAGTCCTCGTGGTTTGGCTTCTCCTAGACGTTCTGCCAAATTCAGCAGCGCCTGCAAAACGTGACAGTTGTACGTTTTAAAATTCAAAGCTCAAAAAAGCTCAAGATCTGCTGAAGTGGAATTATTTCTTCTGCCAAAAGACATCATTATCCCACCTGGTAGCACAAAACACCTTTCTGTTAAGAAATGTTTAGAATCTTACCTCTCCCCTTACAATACAAGCTCCATGGAAAGTCCTTCAGAGTTCAATCAACTTTCTGAATTATACTAGATGTATCTGGGATTTCAAAATCTCCATGATCCAACTTTTAACCACTCCTCAGATCCTTGGTAACTACTCTGCCTTTGAAGGATCTTCTCACTCCACTATGCAATTAACGGTGTAGGCAACAGGAAGAATTTGTTGCCAAATTTATTTCTCAGGAATTATAAGATGAGTCTGGCCCTCTAAGAGGAACTAAGAATTTAAAGGAATAACTTCTCACTCTCACTCCACAACTTAGGCTAGCTGAATTGAGACACAGAAATTTTATGCTGAACTCTAGAAAACAAATACATGCCATCAAACTTAAAGCACTTTCTGCTGAAATTTTATATTCATTTTTTATGAACCAAGCATTGTAACTAACTGCCCCTCAAACAAATAATTTGCACTCTGTCATTATATAATTTGCACTCCTTCACAAGGACCTTGAGACAAATAACTGTATTAACTTGATGGAGAACAAAGGTATAGAAAAGTTAAGAGCCTTGGTGAAAGCTGTGAACAGCATCGGTCACGAAGAGACTTCCAATAGTCCTAAAACTCACGGCCCAGATTCTCAGAAACAGGACGATGCTTCTTCTGAACTAGGATAGCAATTATTTAAAAAGAGCTCATTGTTAAACTGGAAATGCTGTGCTACTACACAAATACAGAAGCTCTTAAGGAGAACAAGGGTAAAGAGATGCAAAATGAAAGCTAGGTGATGATTGTGAGCTTTTGAACAGATTCTGGAAGGAATCCAACGGTCTGAAGCAAAAACACAACAGCTAGGACTGCCTCTCAATTATCTAGCCTATTAGAGGGTTTACTTCAATATATGTGGAATGCTATACTCTCCTGAGGGTCAAGAAGTGATGGAGCTAAGGCAGTTTTATAAACCTTGCATTTAGCAAAATTTATTCTACAATATTAAAACCATTCTGTATTGATTCTACAAAGTTATCAAAGCACATAAAACCAATAACTTACTCTGCTCTTTTGAATGTGCTTTACTTCTGTTTGATCATTAAAATCAATTTAAAATTCAAAAGAGTAGCAGCAGGCAGAACTTAAAGTTGACCAATGTAATGATTACTGATCTGGAAGGGTGGATTCTGGGAAACAGCAATAGACAAAAATGTCCATTTCTAATATCCAGTACTGCAAACAAATTTGAAAGGATGGTTTCTGGATTCTCTCCTCACAGTCATTACCTTTATTTCAAAGGCAAAAACAGGACTGAAAGCAAAACATAACTCAATTCTGTGTACTGTTTGAGTTAGCAACAAATCTTCAAATATATCTGCACGTCCACACGAACCTCATAGTTTTCCACTTCTCCGTCTTCCACATCCAATTCAAAGCTGAAAGGTGGTCCAACTGCAGGTGGCACTGGGAGCATTGATCTACCATGGGAGCAAGCAATGATAAGGTTCAGCATCTTGCTGAAGGACAACACACAAACACACACCGCTGAGGCAGAGCAATCTTATTGATCCCTCTCAAATCAACAAATTCTAAGATTTGTAAAAATGTTAAGCGTGAAGTCAAGAATTAACATTTGATGTGAAAGACTCAAAACAGAAGGTATTCGTGCCACTTTTTGAAACTGGCTGTACTGCTCTTCTATTTGCATGCATATTGCTGTGTCTCATCTGATATTTCCAACAAGCCTCAACATTATTACAAAAACTAATCTCTTGATTTTTGAGCATCATGGAGAACTAATATTAACACTGAACAGAAATTCAGGTTTTAAATTTGTTTAATTTAAGTGGATAAAGTATCAGTAAAGAGAAGGAACCCTAAATTCACTTAGCTCGCCAATGCTATAGCCTTGGAGTGTTCTCAAACACACAATGAAGATAAGATATACCACTGTACCAACTTCCACAGTGAAAGCAAGTGCAAACTCACCTTCTCACATATTGTGATGTTGGTCAAAGCAGAATCTCTTCACATATAGACTCAAGAGAGAAGCTTTTCCGTTTTTAAGTAAAACAAGTTTTTTTTTGTTTGTTTGTTTTTTTTTACCTACCACCCCCCCCCCCCGCACCGGCAATAACCCACCAAACTACAACAAATCATAACTTCATAATACTAAAAGCTTTATCGAACGGAATTCATCAGGGATTACTGTGCTACACTCTGTCCTCAACAGATAGCTAGAAGCTATGACGTCAGTGCAAGCACTGTCAGAACGTAAGACACAAAGTTCAACAGCTTCACTGGATCAGATATCCAGGTGCCATTTTCATGTGAAACTGCACAGAAAGAGACTATAATCTTGCGGCCACACAACAGGTGGCAAAGTTTGGTTATTTCTGTGCCAATGACACCTGTAAAATAATCTTTGTTTTCTATGTATTTCTTATTTATTTCCAGAACAGAAACATATGAAAAGTAATAAATCTCAGGTCATGGACCCAAACTCCAGCAAAGAGGATCTACTTTAACCAACTACAGATAATCCCTAAGTGTTACTTCTCCCATACCTTCTTTTCTAGAAACAGCTGAACAGGGGCAGAAGTTCTGAAACTGTAACAGATTACCAGTTGAGCCAATGAAATACTTGCACATCACAGAAGGCTCCTGATATTATGTTTCAATAATTTAAAAAAAAAAAAAAAAAATTAACTTACTCCTTGAGTAAAGACTCCTAGGACTTTATCCTGCAAAAGTTAGATTTACAACGTAACTGTGTGCCCCATAAGAGTAACACCAAGTTTTTTTTAAGTATCCTGAATCTTTAAAGAGACTTCCACTGAAAAAAGAGGCACAACAGATACCAAAACTACATAGGACAAAACTGTTCACTTTTATTTTTCCTGCTCGGCTGTGTAAGCTGTTCAAAATAGACTGAAAACTTTGAAAATAACTCTTTGGGCCAGCTGAACTATGTCTGCTTTCTGGTAGAGTCCAACCATAAAAAGTGCTGAGATCCATCTTGAGAGCACTGGTTACCTCACCTAATTCTGTAACAGCCCACAAGAAAACAAATGTACTTTAGACTTACAGCACATATGGTAATAGGCTGGGATGGTAAGGGTGCGGTGCTATTGGCTGCTGTGATCGGTATCTACTGCGCCCTGTGAGTCTTCGAGGCATAAAAGGTGGGTAAGGCTGTAGAACGGAAGAAAGCAAGCTTCAACACTGTGTTTGCTTCAGTATGAAATAAAATGAAATCTGAATACTGAAATCCAACCAAGTATTACCTACAAAATCCAGCCCCTGCTGAAGTCCAAAAAACTTCAGGCTCTTAAAACAATTTCAAATAACAATTCCTATCGCTAATACATAATTACACCATTCTATGGGAAAAAGTAATAATGCACAACAGAAACCCTCGCAAGCCCTTGTAAGCTTGATCTGTATGCAGGCTGGTTTGGGAGACCAAAAGAAGCTGAACTTCTGACTCCTGCGCAAATTTAAGAGCCCAGGCTTTAGGCCTGCTGCTGTTAGGCAGGCTTGTGCCCAAGTGATTGAATAAAAGAAGAGTTTTAAAACACACACACACACACACGTACGTTTTTTAAAACTCTTATCTCTCTTCAGAGTAAATATAAGATAGACATAAGACATATATATAATCTTTGTGGTTGGTATAAGAACGTCTGTTAGAGGGACCGCCACAATGCATACTGCAAAATCTTTGGACAGGTTTTAAAAAAAAGCACCTTTGGAGCAGCGTGCAATTACATTTACATTCAAGAGAGTCTGAAGCCTTTCAACTGTACCTAGGGATTTTAATTAGTACAACTTCTACATCTGGACAATGGTTAAAGGGACATGCAAGTCTACAGCTCCAATGTATTCTTTCCATCAGCTAAAAAAAGGAACTGTCTTCCCTCTTTTTCATTTGCATGCGAAGCTCTTTACTTATGTATTTAAGTTTTCGGTTTCACTGTGCAAAACTTCTTGTGCTACCTCTTGAAACGGGGGCATACATGGTAAAAAATTCCCACTTAAATGCAAATAGGATTTTTCTAGAAATATTCAAAGTAGTAATTTTTTTAGGAGATTTTCACAGCTAAAATTCATATTGTTATCAAATTCATATTCAAAGCCTTGAGGTTTTTTTTTTGAAAGAAAGAATTCAAATATGTTATTAACATGTTTTTCTTCTTCCATATTTGAAGCTTCAGAACACAGAATAACCCAACAAAACCACTGACTAATCTAAAAAATTCTGACTTTGCAATAGAAATGTTGTTAACAGATAGCCACAGTCATACATAAGATTTATGTACAAATATAAGCACAATGCAAAAGAACCATGGTCTTTTTCTCAACGAGAAAGTAAGATCTCAAACCATGCACAGTAAGTATCAATTTTATTGCTTTGTGAAATTTACAATCCAAAAAACATCACTAGAAAGTGCTGTGTTCAGTTTTAGGTTCACTGAACGAAGGAGAGCCAGAAATGCAGCCATTCCATAATAATTTCAACATAAAGGAAATATAAACAACCATAATTTTTTTTTTTCCTAAATAAACTTTTCTAAAAATCAGTTTGAATCACTGGAGAAGTTCTTCTAAAAGATTTAGGATTTGCTTTTTAAAAGACCATGTGATTATTCATAATACACCTATATTCTGCCCCTCAGCCGTATACAGCCCAGAATTGAAGCATCAGAGAGGACAAAAATGTAACGTGCTACCTCAAAAACATGATATTTTGTTCTCTATCTACTTGTAAAATCTGAACTTGGAAATCAAGAATATCCCACTCCAGCCAGAATGTTTGAGACTAGATTGTAATCCCTCTATCAAGCATACTGAATAATATCCAAGCAATTTATGGAAGGTTTTCAAGTGTGTCTAAAACGCTATAGTACTGGAAATCTTCACTGAAAACCTGTGCACCTTTAGTTTAACACTGCGCTGAACAATTTTTTTTTTTTTAAATGGTGGAGCTTTATGTGAATTTTATAAAAGTGCAGCAAACATTTAACTCCATTTAGAGATAGGCTGCATTATTTCAAGGAGACTAATTAAACCGACGTATCCGTACGTTCTTGTAGTCACAGGGACTAAAATTCCATTGTCATTTAAAATTTTTAAGGGACAACAGACTACTAAAAGCTTCTGTCAAGGTGATGGCACAGGTCAAACAAAAAAAATTAAGAGCCTAAATTTGATTTCTAGTTCCTTCTTCAAGTATTAATCAGGTGGCAGAGGTTTTTCACAAGCATCTCAGGACCTATTCATTGCAGCCTGAAATGCAACACAAAGATCCTAGAGCTAGCACAAATCCGGGGCACAGCCTAACCTCAGCAACACGAAATTAAGCATAGATTTTATCCTGAACTAGGTTTCATCATTTCTGTGCTGATGCAGTTCAGCTGCACCTTGCCCCCCTTACAATTTCCTTAAAGCAAGCTTCACTGCCTCTGTAGTACTGTACCGTCTGCAATATGGAAGTACTCTAAGATTACTTGCCTACAAATTGCAGATATTCTGAAGAATGATTGTTTTTAAACCATTATAGCTTTCCTGACCTGGGGAAATTCAAAATACCGAGGAAGAATTAGCAGCAGCAGAAGTGACAATAGCTTTTCTGAACTATGCTCGTTAGTTTCTGCAGTAGAAGTACTGAACTGTGCGGCAATACGGAATCATTTCTAAGTAACTGCTACTGCACTCTCCGCAAACGATGTTCTTAGAAATCATTTACTGATGTCACTAAGTTAACTGCCCTTAGCTTAATTAAAATGAGCTTATAGAAAATATCAAAGGACACAGCTGTTGCCATTAATGAAAATCCAATTGCAAGAAGTGCCACTTTTCAACAAAATGTACTATAGAATAAAGATCGAGAATGTTAACTCAGCATGAATGAGAATGTAGTGCAGAAAGTAATACTTACTACACCAAATGACACCTCCTGGTGTAAAGGATCGTGGGTTAAGAATTGGAGAGGAGCTGAGGGAGGCAATGTTGGTGGATGGGCTGAGGGAGGGTATGTAAAACCTCCTACAGGAAGATGTTCTCCAAGCAGTTCTACTTCATTTTCTATTCTTTGAAGTGGCTAAAAGAAACACAGGCTTTGTTGCATTAATAGAGATGCAATTTTTCCCCACTAAAGAACTGCAATTCCAGCTGTATATTCTGAGCTGCTGTGGTCAGTTTTTCAGGGTACAATGCAATTGTACTCACTTTCACAGAGTAACACTGTGAAAAACGGCTGTGTCATCAATACTACCAAAAAGCAAAGACGACACAACAAATTTGAGCTAAAATGATCTTTTCCAGCTAGCCATGGTTGTAGATTAGGAATTTATGCAGTCTAACAAACATAGGAGTGGCTGTAATTTCCTGTGTCTCGCATTTTTTTTTAAGAAAAATATTGCTCTCCTTCTTGCCAGGCTGCTCTCTGTGAAACTATGTGAAAGGAAAAAAATAAACTGAAGACCTTTTTAGGAAATACTTCTTTCTATCGCGTTGGTCACTGCAATAGCCGAAGAAGAGAACTAAAATTGTGTCAGATAGTCTGAAAAGTGATGTGGATGGTAGACGTGGCTATTCCAGTGATATTAAACAGATCGTGATACTCAGTAATGAAGCAATTGCTTCCTTAGAAGGGTCATGCAACGGTCCTACCAAGAACAGACAGGCCAGTGGTTTCAGAAGCATGTGATTCCAGTTTAGTTCTGTTAAGGTAGTTGATTCTAATAAAACTGTCAGGCCCAAAGAGCCTCAAAATATACCCAAATTCTGTGTGGGCCTAGCTTTGCCTCATCTTCTCCCCTTTTATTTCTCAGTGATTAAGCGTTCTGTCACTGTGACAGGAAAGGCCAGATAAAGTAATCGTTATATTAAACCACTTCTGGAACTTTAGCATTTATCAGTCAGTAGCATATGAAATGAATCAACTGCTGACTTGAGGAACCAAAAAAGAGCTCTTAAGCTTAAGAAAATAGTTCCAGACCTTGTCACGAGCCACAAAAGTCGTCACACTAAAATACAGCAGGAAATTAAGAAGTTTCTTATGTAAATGCTGAATTCTTTCCTAAGAAGCAAAAATTACAACCATGAAAACCATTTTCCCCCTTCAGTGAACCCACTAAAAGCAGGAAACTTAATGGGCTTCTGTTTTATCTGTTTTCATAAGATAGTTGTATGAGGAATTTATAAATAATTTTTTGCCAAATGTAAGTAAGCTAGACACATTATTTTAAAGCTGTGCTTCTGTTGTAAGGAAAGCTCTTCTCTCAGATCAAGCTGGTCTCATTTTTCCAAATTCCTAAGCTCCGTTACTCCACTGTTTCTTCTGTTCCCGATACTGAATTCCACCCCTTTCAAGAAATTCAGCTAAGAAAGCCACCTTGTGGAAACAGCGGAAAGCTCTGTTTCCCTGTTACACAGAACAAACCTTAAACACTACCTTAAAGCACTATCCTGAAAGTACTAGGACAGAGGCATTTTGCCAGGGCTAAAAGTTGACAGGGAAGCCTAAACTCTAACCTAAAGCCAGCAATCCAAATCAAAACCCGAGGGCGTACGTTTTCTAAAAGAAAATCTTATTGCAATTACTAGTGAAAACCACGCTCTCCCAACTGTTCTCCCATCCTTATATAATAAAAGTATTACAACAGTACCAATGCCTGAGATACAGCATGGATAGGTCTGAGCCATGTTTCTAAGAAACACTGAAGCTAAGCTGTTTTCTGTTTCTGCATCAGTGAAATACTGGCACGTTCTAGTTAGAGGGCCAAACAAACGGACATAACCCCACAGTCCGAGTTGTAGGCCAGAAACGAAAACCTAATTGCTCCCCTCAAATCTAAAATAAGGTCACCTTTTGCTGTGTTTGCACGGTCCCTATTATTAGGCCATTAGCTTTTCAGCCAATCTGCTTAAGCAGTAGTAGTCCGTAATTTTCACAAGTGAAAAAGAAGGAAGGGAGAGATTCTCAGTTCCTGAGAGTTTCTGGAAGACCCAGGGGCATACTACTTCACTCTAGTGTTCTACAGAAAACATTGCTCATTTAAAGATCAACTGAGAAGTAAAACAATAAAAGTCTCTAATGAGAGTAACATTCTGTGTTTTCTCATTTCTCTACTAAGCTTTTCTCTGAGACCAGTGCTGCACTTACATAGCCTCCTCTGATTCTCTTCTTCCTAGAAAAGAAGCATCTGAACAAAAAAACTTTAAACAAAATCCATTTATTTCCTCAGTCGTGTATCAGAAGGGCTACAGCATCTGCCCATCCAGCCCTACCTATTCTAAGGTGAGAGGGTAAGAAGCATTACTTACCGACCGTGACTGCTGTGCTTGGAAAGGAACAAATTGTCCTGGAGGTGGCAAGTGAGGAGGGTGGTGTGGAGAGAGATGAGGAGGATGCAAAAGGAACGGATCGCTAGAAATGAGGGGTGGGAATGCTGCGTACGGTACTGGTAGGTGCTGGACTGAACATGCCTGAAGCATCTGAAAAAAAAATGAAAACACAAAGAAAACACATATTTTTTGCCTCTAGCATGAACGTTTCTTAAGAGAATATTCCTTGTTCATTAAGGAGAGATATTAAAAGAAAGCAGCTCTCCTCCCTACTTGGAAAAGCTGTCAAAACACATACAAACAGTAATTCATTCACATACGCAACAAACAGCGACTAGTGCAGATCAGGTTCTACAAACATGATAGTCTGACACCAGCCAGCTGCAAAGCGCCTTTCGCTTTAGAGGAATTCAATGGGAGTGGGGGTTTTCAGCACTACAGGATCAGGCACAGACACCTCAGAGAAGAGCAGGGACACCCACACTCTAGTAAATTCTGTTCTTCCCATGTACTACCTTCAAAATATCAAGCCAAGGCAATGTCCTTGCATCTATTTAAAGCTCTAGATGGAGTCGATGGATTCCTAGCTGTTAGCAACCTCTGTTGCCTCACATACGAAGTGCAATTCATAAGCTCTGCTCAGTTCCATGCTTTGAGGGGTCCCTTAATGCTGTGAAGGCAGCAACGTGAGCAAGAGCTACTGCGGGAAGCAACCTTTTCTCTCTCCTCTGTGAAATTTCTCACACAAGAGCAACTATGGGACACTAAAGTTTGAAGGCAGTGTCGAGAAGCAGGAATATGGTTAATGGAAGCATCCATTTTTACTTCTAGCTATACAAATGAGAAAAATTGCATTCTCTTTTTCCTGCTGCTAGATCTGTCACTGTAATCGCAGGTAGTCCTTCTACATTTTTGACCATTAAAAGAGCAACCTGGAATATTTCTGTTAGTTGCCAAATAACCAGCATCACCTTTGCTTTATATAAACAAAAGATAATAATTAAGACCATCTTTGTATTTGAAACTTTACCATCCCACTTGTGAAGCACACCACATTTTACAAAAAAACCCACAGAGGACCCACTGCTACTCTCTCAATTGCTTTTGTTAGCCTTAAGCCACGCAACATATTGACTATAATGATGGAATCACCACCTCATTTACCGTGTTCATGACCCAAAATAAATCTTTACATGCACGGGAAACAATAGCAGATTTACTAGGTTTTCTTGAATGCATAATCAGAACTAACTGCTGAATACACTTTCCCCTTGTCTATGGCACTATTTTCTAGAAAAAAGAAATGTTAAAGCCAAATGTTTCTACTGTTAAAATATATTTTTTATTATATTTAATAAATTGAAAAATGTTTCTTAAAACACTTGAAGATAAATTTTCAGGAAGAACATGACACAGTGTTCTTTGAGAAAGGAGGTACTCTGGGGAATACACTAAAATTGATTTCACTGTAAGACTAAACATAGTAAAGATTACTATAGCTTCAATATATGTTGAAGAATGATTTGTGCTAGGCAAGTGGTTAAGACTGATTATTTAATGGTCCTTCAGATTGACGTTATGTTGAAAGTCAGACTATATTCCACACCCCACATGACAATGAGAGTACATTTAAATTCAGACTCCAAATTATGTTTGCTTCCTGTTTTATATTCTGGTCTAAAAATCCATTGGATAATTTTCAAGTATAGCTAGAATGTGCAATAATCTCCGCTGCTAGAAACATGTGACCATTTCCACTCGAGCAAACTCCTTCAGCTGCGTGTCGTTATGCCTTCATTTTACAGGAGGACTTTTCCAGACCTTCAGCTCATCAAAGTAATAAAATGAAACCTGCAAGTTCACAGATGACACCGTATTAGGGGGCACAAGTCAATACGCTGCAGGGCAAGGATACCAATCAGATGGACTTCAGTAGGCTGCAGAAACTGGCTGACAAGAACCTCACAAAGTTCAAGGAAGGCACATGTGAAGTCCTGCACTGGGACAGAACAACTCCTTGCAGCAGGACAGCTTGGGCCTAACTGGCCAGGGAGCAGATTTGAGGAACAGAAGGAAGGGATTCTGGTGGACAAAGTCCAACATGAGTACAACGGGAGCAGCAATGTACTCTTGCACCCAAGACGACGTATTGCATATCGGACTATATTACTAAAAGCCTAACTAGCAGGTGACCCTTCCCCTCTGTTTGTCACTTGTGAGATTGCATCTGAAGTCCTGTGTCTAGTTTTGGGCTCTCCAGAACCAAAAAAGACATTGACATACTGAAATGGGTCCACTGAAAAGCCAACAAGACAATGATGAGCTTGGCGTATGCAGAATACAAGCAGAAGCTGTATTTGTTCAGCTTTAGTAAAACAAAGCTAAGCAAGGACCTTAGTGCTGTCTTCAGCTACTTTAGGGGCGGGGATCGGCAGAAGCAGACTCTTCCGTGAGGGAACACAGAAAGGACAAGAAGCAATGGGAACAAGTTCCAGCAAAGGAAATTCCAATTAGATATAAGGGAAAAATAATTGTTTTCACCACAGGAGTAGTTGAACATTGCAGCACAGGCTCAGGGGGATTGTGAAATTTCCATCCTTGGAAACTGGCTGCTCTCTGAGCAGGTGACCTCCGGAGCTCCCCCCTAATTTATACTATTCTTTGATTTTGTGACATAATAGAAAAAAATAGTATAAAATTTGCCTGCTCACGCTACGTAATTTCAACTTCGAAAATGTTTCATATTCTGTTGCATTGCATCCATGCTCTTAATGAACCTGATAAACTACAGTATAATCACTCTAAACGACCTAGTTAAATATAAATAGCACAAATTTATTCATGTATATATTTAAAGGAGAGCTGCAGAGCTGAATCGTAAAATATTTACAAACTGCACATTTAACTAACTGTTGAGAGGGGAGCGTAGGAGATTATCGGCACCTACAATCTGCTGTTTGAATTCCCTAGGCCCGAATAGAAAGCTTTAACAGATTTCTCTCCTGTTGTTGCTTAGTTGCTTTGTTTCCTAGAACTATACCGAGCAGTAAAAACACACAGATCTCAATACAGAGAAAGTAAACAGAAGAAGTTCTCTCTCATCCTGCTTCACGGATACACACACATAACAGCTTTCTATCAGGTGGAAAGGTAAAGGGAGATACTACCTACAAGTATTTCAGACTGGCCAGCAGTATACCAGAGAAGTTGTTGTCTCTAAGGGGGATAAATAGCATCAAGATAACATGAATGCAAACTACTGTTTCTCACTCTTCAATTTAGCTGCTTCAGCCAGGGCTAGTTAGATTGGTACGGATAGCCGTTTACAAAGAGAAACAGAAATGCACATAAAGTGTTTTGTTTCACTGCCACAGGCTTATTCATGTTCTCAGGTCACAGAAGGTCCACATAACAGGAACGAGGGAAAGGCTAAGTTACACACTGCTAGCAAGCGACCAGCCAGCAAAGACCCACGTGTATAAACCATACAGGAGATCATTACTTGGACAACTTAAGGGTACTAACCAGACTATTAACTCAGGGGAAATAAGTTCCAGTTCTTCAGCCTTGATGCGTGTGAGCACTTACTGATGAAATCTCCACAGGATGGCACATCGCGAGAAAACAACTGGAAAGCAGTATCTCCCAGTAGACATACGAAAATTTGTGGGAAAATAGTTCAAATTCTTCCAAAGTTTAAGCTGGCAAAAGTTACCCACTCAAGTCAGTTTACTGATGTCTCAGAGAGAAATATCATTATTAAAGAAGAATATTTTAATTCGTTTTGTGAAAACATTTCCAAATAGAAAAGCACTTCTTGGCTTTTATTGGTCTTCAGGATCTTACCGCTTCTCAGAAAAAAAAACCCTGACTTTGGAGATGCCACTGATCTTTCCTGCATACAACCAATCCCTGTGCAAGGTCTCTCCAACTGAGTAAATTTTTCTAGGTGAGCTGCCTTATTATCTTTAAGAGATCATAACTTTTTCCTCTCAACATCTAAAAGTATGTAGAATAATCAGATCATAAAGCACATTTATATGGAGTTAAAAACCACCAGGATAAGATGTCATAACTCTACAAAGAGACCAGGTAGGCCTCATACATTTACCATTTCTAAGGCATACACTGTTAGACCACTGCAACTTATCATAGGAAATAAAGGCTTTTTCTGACACAACTACAGCCATATGCCAGTGAAGTTCCAAGATGTCACTACTATGTCTAAGATGAAAGCTGATACAATTACAGAAATCCACTTACTGGGGGAGGCACACTGCAAACCGGAAGGTGCTGTCCGCTGAAAACCACTGAGCACCCTGGAACCTGCTGCGTGCTGCAGGCTGGGATGTGCTGGCCTGTGCAAAGTGGGATCCCATGCGGCGCCACTGTTGTCACTGTGTATGAAACAGGGACTGTGCCCTGATGGATCTGCAGCAAAAGGAAAAAAAAAAAGTTTTAGCAACTGTTACTTTAAACTCTTAACAGCTATGTACAGTTATGGTATGACAGCTAAGATGAACTTTCACCTACCAGAAAGTGAGCATACCAGAAAAAACATGCTCACAAAGAAGGGGTAAAAGGAGACACATACCTGTAATTCCTGTTCTTTAGAATATTCTTTTCAATGGAATACTACTCTTTGACCAGTGCTTGCAGGGCAAGGCCAGGAGGGATGTCTCAGCTTAAAAAGGTTAAAACTTCCAAGGCACCTTAAAGAGCACTCAAGTAGCATCTCAGACTCAGTAGGGTCTCCTCACATGCTAAGGTTAGTCCTTGTAAAATAAAAAAGCTGTAATTTGCACTTAACAGCCAATTAAAAAAAAAAAAAGGAAAAAATCTACAAGTAGCTAAAGAATCTTCTCAGTTCTGAAAGGAAGACTAATTGAATGAGAATTGAAGCCATAGACTCCTATCTTTAAAGAACAAGAACTTTATATACCTTTTATTTCCTTCAAAGAGGATTGTCTATGGATTCACGCTCAGACCGACATTCACAGGATGTCTCTAACCTGACTGTAACAGAAAGGAAACTGAAAAACTGAACAGGAGAGGCAACATACTCATAAACATGACTGCGACAGCGGAGTTAAGAATCCACAGACATATTAGGAAATACAGCCAAGCATATCAAGTTTCTATGTAGCAATATTTTGCATAATTTAATCATCCAACCAAGAGCAGAAGGTGTTCTGGACCTAGACATTATTCAGCTTTTTTTACATTAACTACAAAATCCTTGATGAAAACCTCAAAGAATTAGTGTCAAAGGAAGCAATTAATTCAAAGGAAGCAATTAATTCAAACCTCTCTCTTCCTTCATGATCTACTAAAAATGGAACCCACCTGTGGGAAATTAACAAGACTAGCTTATTATGAAGCTGAGAAGGGGTAAATAAAGAGAGCTAACCTACTGAATGGGCCATCAGATGAGGTCAAAACAGAAACACAGATCACTGAACCTAAAACCTCAACCTTTATTCTGCTAGTGACAGAAACCACTCTTAGGAGAGACACTGACTTTGACCTAGTTATGACTTAGGAACAAAAACAGATATTTTGTAAGAGGTTTATCAGGGACTTTCATGCAACACCAGTTGGACATGCAGTGCAATGCTGGGTGTCACTCGGGAATATTTACCGCTCTTGCGGTGTATGGAAGAAAAAATGGCCTCTCACCGCGGTTCCCTCCCTGAAGTAGCCTGAAGAAAATACTACCGTGGAAGACCTCAGCATAATCTGGAAACAGTGACATTTGACTACAGATGATACCTGGAATAATTGTTTTTCAGGCATGGGCAGGGGCATGATTTGGATTTTTGAGATGCTGCACTAGCACAATTATTAATCAAAACGGAAAGTTGAGAGAGAGCTAGAAAATGGCAATTAGCTTCCATCCTCGCACTTGTTTTCAGATGTAAATACTTCCTAACTGAGCATTGCTCTGCACACAAAATACAACACACTAGCAGTGTGCAGCTGCATCGAATGCAAATGAGTTTTTAAGCACAGATATCAGAGTTGCATTCTATGCGTGTGCAGTTTGAGAACTGGATATCCAGTTCTCCATTCCAACAGTTCTGCCCCCCCAGTTCATGATCACAAACCAACTAGTGCACTTGTGCTGCAGCCTGCTGATCTGTGGAGAGGAAGAAAGAGGAAGAAAAAAGAAAGGCGGGGCTGGGGGAAGGGAAGGATCAATAGGATAACTTCTTTTACAGGACCTCAGTTAGGGAACTCTGTATCAATTCCTGTTTCAGAGAGGACCTAATTATTCATTTTCTGGACTAACCAGCGAGCTCATTTTTTCACACCACTTAAGGAGGTGTTGAGTTGAGGCTAGAATGGCTAATGTAGTAATGGGCTACTTACTTGCAAATATATTCAGGTGCAGTGGTGAGCTCTTGTTTTCAACTGGTGTGCGTGCTCTTTCAAAGCAGTATGGCACTATGTTCATACAACAAATTCTTAACAATGACCTCATCTTTTGTCTTCACCGAAAGAAAGTCACCCAAGCATGGAAGAACTTCATAAACACTGCTGTATTATATGTACTCACATACAGCCTCTGTAGAGAACAGCAGGAGATCCCAAGACAGGATCTATGTACCAACTCTACACACTGCTGTTATGCAGGCAGTCAATTATAGGCATGATGAATCTACTGCTAAATAATGTATTTTGACTATCTAAAAATTCTTAAGGTAGAGGTACTCCTAAGAAGAGGTACTTCATCTGAAATAAAATACAAACTTAATTATCATATACCTTAATCAAACTAAATTTAACTTCAGAAGCACAAGGACTGCATTTCAAAGGGGTGAGCCAGAGGCCTACAGAACTATGCCAACACGTGCACTGACAAACTGCTACCTTTCACTCTTCTCTATCAAGACTCCAGGTTTTTGTTTTCACTGCTTGCTGTAGCCCCTCCATAAACCAACAATAGTCTAGAAGTAAAATGCTGAATATGAGGGCAAATAGGTTTCACCGTTATGTGACCTTCCTTGTAAACTAATTTAGGGAGAAGGGGGATCTTGAAGATTTCCACAGCATCCTCATAGCCATACTCTAACACCCTCACCTGATCATGAATGTCAACCATCACTGCATTCTGCTGTGGCGGGTGAGCGGCTGGGTGCAACATACGAGGCGATACATTCGGAGGGTGAAAGGCTCGGGGCTCTTCTATTGCTTGCTGCTGTCCATAGGAGAGGTGGTGATAGTTTTCATCCTGGCTAACGGAATTATGTCGAGACAGACGATCTCTCCTTGCTCTTTGACGTCGAACCGGAGGACTGGAAACACATCAAAAGAGATTGCATAAACGCCATAAACTTTTCTTAATAAAAAAGAATACATGAGAATCCAGTATCAAGAAAAATTTGACACTGGAAAATTTTACTGGAAGTTTTATAGGTTTGGAACATAATTTCTTACCAACAAAACTTCTAAAAGTTTTACTACTGACACTCATTTCTGCATAAGAGTGCTTAGCAGAACGTAACTTAATGCACTAGAGGAAACCAGGAGAAGCACTCTTATATAAACATTAACCTGTTAGAAAGACATTACTCACGTTGCCATGTCAAGCACTCAAATGTCAAGACACCAAACTTCAAAAGACTCCTGTGCATTTATACTAACAGGAATCCTTAATCATATGATCACAGGGTCCTTGTTCCAACCAGGGCACAGAACGGCTGCTCCTCACTAATAGCAGACAAAGTGGTAGACTGCTCTGAAGACAGATAACTTTTTTTAGCTCCTACATGCTCACTAAGTACATGAGTGCTTCACGGAAATCTCTTCGGAAGATCTTCGGAAATAGTGATTTTGGAAATCTTTCCTTTTTACAGTGGAGAACTGTTGTGTAGATTGATTTAGCCCAAAGCACCCACATGTTTTGCGTTACCAATCTATAGCCCTGGGATATGATGATATATCCTTTTATGGGTATGTTGTTCAGATCAGAGTTGCCACTATTTTGAGTCAAAATTTCTGCAAGTCAGAGACTAGTGGCTCAGACTGAACTCTCAGAAAATGAAGTAACAAGCAACAAACAAGTAATAACCTTTCTTTTAAAAGTTTTGATTAACTGGCTTTCAACTCTAAGCACACAACCACCCCACCATCACCCAACTCATTCAACACCTGCCTTCCCATCTCCCACAATACGCAAATGATAGGTCCCGCAGTCCCTGTTTCAAGGGATGAAATGATTTCCTGGTTACAGAACAGAATTGCAGAGAAGAGACAGAAGGCTCTGTGACCACTGGAGCATGTCCTCTCCAACAGAGTTTGGAAGAGAACTTAAGATTCTTGACTCTCACTACTCCTTTTGCTAATATCAAATAATCCTGAAACCCACTGGCAAATCATTGTATAACCCAGACACTGCTTGAGCTGAGTCCAGCTTTTGTGCTGAGTGAGGTAGGAGTCCTCCGGGGAAGAGGTAGCGTGCTACCAGTTATTCAGATGCTGTTATGAAGATACGATAGAATATCTCAAGCTACTACTATTTTTCTGCCCTACTTCATGAAGGCTTTACACTATTATTGCCTTTCACCAAACTGAAACAAGTGCTAAGTAATTCACCCCACCCAGGTCAGACAAAAGGCCTAATGCCAGATGCTAAAACAGCATTCTAAAAACATCATAGCCTCCTTTCTCTTCACAAATTACTATATCAGAACCTACAAACTGTGTTCTCTTCTAAGCATGGAGAACGTAAATTTACTATTTTAATTGTTCTAATAAGACATTTGTCTTAATCCCAAACTCCTTTTCCAGAGTTTTTGTTCCACTCTCCATTTCTGCGTTAGTAATATGATTTACCTGTTCAACATTTTGCAATTCAAGCAGTGTGTAAGATTTCTAACGACAGAGCAGATTAACGCTCAATGCAAAAGATGTTCCATTTTTTTTCGAGCATTACAGTTAAAGCTTCAAAGTTGCAGGAGTGGAGAAAGGTCACCAATGACAGCACTAATGCTTTGCAAAAACAATTAAAGAAATTCCCTAACTAGCATTAGCACTGATCATTCGACAAGGTAGATTCTCATAAAACCACTTTTATGTCCGTTTGTTGAAAGGTTAAGCTTTCATTTTTCATGGAGCCAGAATTACGAGAAAGCAAAGCTAGCAAAACTGGACTCATTTTGGCAGTAATTTTTAAAATGAATAGAGTAGAGTTTTCTGGAAAAAAACAACACTTATCATTCAGCAGAACTTAGAGCATCCAGAGACACAGCTCTATACACTTCCTAACTTATTATGAATGACTTATGAATAACAGTCAAATAATAATTTAGATCCAGGTCCTAACATCAATATTGAATTGTACTCAAAGCCTTAACAACACACACACACACAAACCCTCATCCCTACATGTGCAGTATAAACATGGTAAGTGACAGTCCTTTATGCACCCAGTCACTTACATCTTAAGAAAAAAGATATGTCCACCTAAGACAAAGCAGGCAGGATGGAAACAGTGAGAAAAATGCTTTAGTTAAACTTTTAGGAATAGCCATCAAAAGCTATCCATAACTGCAAAGTCTTGATCTCAGTATTCCCTAATAAAGTTGATTTCTCTGCAGTAGCACTTTCTCAAATCCTGTTACTCAGCTTAGACGTACCTTTATGGTAAGGTGGAAAGGAAAAACAGATGAAAGATGAGGCAGAGCAATGGGACACAACTCCCCCTTTCACAGCAACTGGTAAAGACAAAGTGGAACGTCCTGCTCTGTTTCATAAGGGCATGCACTATGCTTTTACTTTCACAATTTATCTGTATAAATAGTTGAACTAGAGTAGCACCTTCTTTCTGGAAATCTAAATCAGAAGGCAGGAGGCTACCTTCTTAATGCCGTATTTACTTGCTTATGATGAATTTGAGAAACCCAGCTACAATTAGGACACTGGTTGTGCTAGGCACAGTAGAAAATCCCTAATACAAAGAGGTTATGGTCTAAACAATAACCCAGGTAATGGAAAAACACAGCTAATAAAGACTTTAAAAAATCCACTGCAAAACACAATACAGGTGCAGCCTTTGCAGACCAACAGGAGTGGAACTGTAGAACAAAACAGCCGGGGCTGATGACGTCAGATCAGAGTGACGTCCACACTACACACGTTTCAGGGGTTTAGTTTGGACTAGCCCTAGTTGTGTTCCCTTGATCTGAATGCCTATTTGCAACTAAAATGTACCTTTCAGCTTATCTTCGTCAGAAAAGAATCTAGTTCATGAGCTCTGAGACCACTCCACAATGGGAACTGAAGTAAAGAAAACAGGGACAATCAGAAAATTTGCTTCAAAACCACAAGCATAATCTCAAGTAAACTGTTAATAACAGATGCGCTCACAATGATCTTCAGAAATCAAACTTTGATCTTGACCGTGGTTCTTAGTTCTGATTTGGCTCCAATGCTCCAAGACTCAAAAAAAAAGATTCCTGCGAAACACAGAGACACGTGTGGTTTTGTTCTCCCTAACGATCCTATTCTGGAAGAGCAGATTGGGTGCTGTTTTATTGTGCAACTGAGCTATAGCCAGCTCAAACTGAACAGCGCGTCCAAGCTAAAACACGTTCTGACTCCCAGCTGCAGGGAAACACAGTGCCGAGACATTCAAATGTCTCCAGCGGAAGGAAAAACAGCTGCTTCTCAAAAGCAGGTGAGCTGACCTGGGAAGAGCAAGGTTGTTGCCTGCACATGCTGTGACCAAGTTAACTACTTCTGTCAGACTTAAGATAGCTCTGCACTGAGGTGACTCTGGTGTCTACATTTGCAACATGGTTCATGTGCAAGCCACAGACCCTTATATAGGTGACAACTGCACCAGAATGCCAGGACAGTACCGAAAAGACCCAGGTACATCCATCTCCTGCATATCCCACTCTCCTCCTTCCTCCCACAGAATCTCCCAACTGACTAGATTCAGGTGCCAGGCATACAGCTTGCTGAAGCACTCTGCTTATGCTGCAGGAGACAGTAATGAATGGTTGCAAAGAAATGTGTGTAGGCTGGCTGGGTGCCAAGCAAAAAATGCCAAATGTAGCATGGTTTGGGCACCTTGGCTCAAAGCATTTTCAAGTACAACACACTTTATCAGCCAAACGCCCCCATGGAGCACCCCAGTACCAAACCATACAAAAGATGGAAGCTTCCCTCTTCACAATAACCGCTGCAAGTTCACAAATCAAACTTTTTCTCAAGTTTGACAATCTGCGTGAAGGTCCATGCCATTTTGAATGCCACCGACTGAAAGGTTTCAGAATTGTGGACTTGAAGAAGAGACAAAACCAGCATACTTTAAAGCCTTTTGCCTCAAACTACCACTGCATGATCATGGTTGACAAGCTTTATTCATGGAATCAGAAGAAAATCAATCATATATTTCTAATCTCAAGTCTAATATTGTGCACTCATGAAAAAGCGTGGCTACTTCGATTTTAGTAGAAATCAAACTACAATATTTCTCTGAAGCAAACAGAGGGCAGTGTGCTTTAACTTCCATTAGATTACTAAATATTTTTGAGCCCGTTATAGCGGGGATGAAAGCGTGTGTTTCGGATAATTAACCAGAGTAGTAAAGAAGTCTGTATTTTTATACTTTCACTTACTATCATCCAGGTATCAGTTCAGCCTGGCCATCCAAAACTCTACTCTTCCATGACTAATTGAATTTATTCCAAAATCTCTTCTTTGAGAGTTTTATGGCCACAAGCTAAAAATAAAAACAAAAACATAATTCTTACGCTATCTGAACCAACCACCTTAGCAACCACATGACACTGTGTTAGCCTCCTCATTCTCTCCAATCAGGTCGTCTTCATTTAGACTGTTTTTATGCAAGAAAAGAATTAAGTGCCACTGCAGTGAAAATTATGGTACTACAGAAAGAACTATTAATATGTTTAAAAGCATACTGAGGAGAAGCAAGATTTTAGTTTTTTTGTTCTAATTTCCTTACATTTTTCAAAATGCTTATTGCTCCAGTGCAGAATGAAAGACAGAATCTGGCTCATAACTGAAAATGTTAATGAGCATTCCTTCCGCCAAGCTGGGCCTAATCACACAAGTTATGAGAAGATGCACCAATTTAAACTGCTTTCAAAAGAGTTTTCAGTTATAATAGCAATAATTTACAACTCAAAGGAAATATTAACATATTTTCCAAATAATCTAGTCAGTGCTGCCTGCAATGAACCTCCCCCCCCC